GACATTTTCTTTTTTATATCATCAGTCTTTTACCTTCCTCAATAGAGACTTGTGTGCCTTGGCATATAGTTATTTTGGATCAAGAGAAAATACATCCCCTGCTGCCCCACCTTCAGGCCCTGGCAAGAAGAGTTATGTGCCTTATAATTCCTTCTTCAGGTTCTTGATCAAGGTCTTGTATTGAACCCCAGTGAGCCTCGGCAGATATTTAGTCTACAAATTATATGTATCTTGGTTTTGTATTCTAAAAGCCAGAGCAATTTGACACACACTCTCTCTCTCTCTCTCTCTCTCTCTCTCTCTCTCTCTCTTTTTGTTGTTGTTTTTAGTTCATTTGTCTTATTTATTTCAGTTTAGAGACGAGGATTATCATTCACTGTGTTTTAGGAAATGAATAATATTGTTCTCTCTACATATGTGGTGGGTTTATCATCATTGGTTTAATACTTGTTACTTCTGCAGCAATAATACAGGAAGCGGTACAGTAATTTAGGTCTTGTGTGTTTGTATGTCATGTCAGTTAGAGCTGTAGATAGCTTTGTGTCTGATGGATGTTACACGACTTGAGATACTAGAACGGGAAGAAGAAATGTTCATCGTATTTATAAACCAAGAACTGTTTATTTTTTGTATCTTGACAATAATAAATTTGACTTTTTTTTATTCATTGTATTCAGGTTCTGGACGCGTTTTGGGTGTTATCAGCGACCCCAAGATGATGTGTTGATAAACCTCGTATTACTATCGGTCAACGTGATGAGTAGTAACCACAAAACAACCACGTGAGGACTCTTGAGTAACCTGGGGACACTCTTGAGTAACCGGGGGCACTCACCAGGGACCAACCATCACTGGACACTGAAGGAGGAAGAGGAGGTGAGTGGTGTTGCCTCTTTTTATACTTTGATCCAACCCTAACGGATATAAGTAACTCACTCACTCACTCACTCACTCACTCACTCAGTAACTCACTCACTCACTCAAACATTATAAAACATAAATATTATCTATCTTCAGAGTAAATTAAGGTCAGGTTAGGTTACGGAAAAGTTATGGTGGTGAGGTAGAAATGTCTGTCACTAATAAACAATGGTATTTGTTCTAGTTATCGTGTGGTTGTTGTTGTTATCATCTACCTTAATAGTGGTTAATAATATGAGTGATAATAATAATAATAACAACAACAACAACAACAACAACAACAACAACAACAACTATTTTCGACCTGTTACCATTAACTACAACAACTACAAACAAACAAACAAACACACACACACACACACACACACACGACCCAGAAAGCGCCACCAACAACAGTTAGTCGCAGGTGACCCACACAGCACTACCTTGGTCCTCTCTCTCTCTCCCTCCCCTCCCCTCTCTCTTCCCCCTTCTCTCTCTCTTCCTCCCCACTCTCTTCCCCCTTCTCTCTCTCTTCCTCCTTCCCTCTCTACTACTACTACAACTACTACCACAACTACTACCAGGACCGCTAGGTAACATACCACCAACCTAGTTACCGGTCCTGCCCCCCCCCTCCCCCACACACATCTCTGTTGTTAATATGACCACTGATACTTCACAACACACACTTAGCATTGACTTACGCCGTTATAAACAGTAACGCCGTCACCCCCGAGTGAGTTAGAAGACTACTAGATATTCTCAAAGTATTATTATTGTTGCTGTACTGTACTAGCTGATGCCCCTAAGTGATGCTAGTGATGAGATTAAAGTACTTTTTTTTTACTTTGTGAAGAGAGTGCCTGGTGTGGATGTTATTATTGTTGTTATTATTATTATTATTATTATTGTTATTATTATTATTGTTATTATTATTGTTATTATTATTGTTATTATTATTGTTATTATTATTATTATTATTATTATTATTATTATTGTTATTATTATTGTTATTATTATTATTATTATTGTTATTATCATTTTTATTATTATTATTATTGTTATTATTGTTGTTATTATTATTATTATTATTATTGTTATTATTATTATTGTTATTATTATTGTTATTATTATTGTTATTATTATTGTTATTATTATTATTATTATTATTATTATTATTATTGTTATTATTATTGTTATTATTATTATTATTATTGTTATTATCATTTTTATTATTATTATTATTGTTATTATTATTGTTGTTGTTGTTGTTGCTCAGCTGACACACATACACGACTTATTTCAGTTCATTTAAAAATTATCTAGCCTAACCTAACTCCTTCAGGTAGCGTGAGGTTGTTTAATCCTCAAGTGAAATAAGCTGGGGTACATAATCAAGTGAAATACCCTGATGTTACTAGTTAAGCTGGGGTACCTATTCTTTTAGTGAAATAAGCTGGGATACCTAATAAAGTGAAATGAGCTGGGGTGTCTAATCAAGTGAAATAAGCTGGGGTGCCTAATCTTCACGTGATCCTAAGAGACTGAACACACAAACCTTGGAAGACCCAGATGGAAGTGCCTAGGTCAGCGGTGTACGGGGACAACAGTTATCTGGCCAGGGGTCTGAGTGACACTGCCTCATTTGCATAATTATATATGTGTGTTATTACGGTAGCCATAACGGTAGAAGGCTCCAACTTCTACCATCACTGGCCTGTATCTGGAAGGAGGCGCACATCCCCACCCTATCCCAACACATCCCACCCCATCCTACTTTACTCCATCCTACACCACCCCTAACACACTCCACCTCACCCCACCCAAACACACCATATCCCCAACACACCCCACCCACAATACACCCTACCCACAACACACCCTACCCACAACACACCCCACTCCACCCACACCCCACTCCACCCACACCCCACCCACAACACATCCTTAGAGAGAGAGAGAAAAGAAAGATAGATAGATTAGTACAGTAGTAGTGGCAGTATTAGTAGTAATAGTAGTAGTTACCAGTTATATTAGTACATTAGTAGTTATAGTAGTAGCAGCAGTAGTAGCAGATACAGTAGTAGCAGCAATAGTAGTAATCGTAGAAGTAGCAGTAGTAGTGATCATAGAAGTAGCAGTAGTAGGAGTAATCGTAGTGGTAGTATTATTAGCTGTGAAGATATATCATTAAAACTGTCCAGTAATCCGTCAAAAGTTCCCGTACATGAAGGTCGCTGTCACCTGAGGCAGTATACAGGTGAGAGAGCCTTAGTGTGTACTCTGGGCACTTGGCTTAATCCCTTTGTTCGTAAGTGGTCTCAAAATAAACTACAACCACATGTTTTATTGTTGTAACGTGTGTGTGTGTGTGTGTGTGTGTGTGTGTGTGTGTGTGTGTGTGTGTGTGTGTGTGTGTGTGTGTGTGTGTGTGTGTGTGTGTGTGTGTGTGTGCAGGCTGCTAAATCAATGTACATCTCACGAAGACATTTGGTGGCACTTTAAGTTGAACGAAACGCGCACACAGACATGAATCATGCCAGGACATGGCCCATACCCCACCATATCCTCCACTACCATACCCCCATACCCCCATACCCCCCATTACCATAATATCATGAACCATTACCATACTATCATGAACCATAACTTAATTAATAGTGGGTCTCTCTCTCTCTCTCTCTCTCTCTCTCTCTCTCTCTCTCTCTCTCTCCTCTCTCTCTCTCCTCTCTCTCTCTCCCTCTCTCTCTCTCTCTCTCTCTCTCAGTAAGCTTACATACATGCAGATACATTCCTCCATCATTAAGTCATACCCACTGATAAAATTGACCCCTTCCTCTCTTAATGGTGTGTGTGTGTGTGTGTGTGTCAGCTGTGTGTGTGTGTGTGTGTGTGCGTGTGCATTATTGTGTGTGTGTGTGTGTGTGTGTGTGTGTGTGTGTGTGTGTGTGTGTGTGTGCGTGTGTGTGTGTGTGTGTGTGTGTGTGTGTGTGTGTGTGTGTGTGTGTGCGTGTGTGTGTGTGTGTGTGTGTGTGTGTGTGTGTGTGTGTGTGTGTGTATCCTTAACTCCCGTGTACACTATCAGCTCCGCTCTTACTTTCACCAGCATCACACCCTGTTCTTGTGACTCACCTGAAGGGAATTCCCCGGGTTGTGTACTTTCCTCGATCACCTGATGATTAAACACCCTAATGTAACTTGGAGTGGGGTTAGGTTAGGTTAGGTTAGGTTAGGTTAACATTTGGTTAGTTTACTCTTAATTTGAAATAAATTAGGTTAACAATTCATATAATCCGGATAGGTTAATTTTGGGTTAACTTTAATTATGTTAGATGTTTGTTAAGGTTAATTTAGTTAATATTATGTTAAATTTGGTTCCGGGTGTTGGTTAAAGTGAGTCACCCGCCTGTCATTGTCTTATTTAACGTGTTAGTGGCTTCAGTGACACCTGGGGAAGTTCCTCTCTCTCTTATGACACTTTCCTGGGCCAGTGACGTAGATCTGGTGGTAGGGAGTGGGGTAGTGAGAAAGTGAGAGGAAGGTAGGGAAGGTGAGAGGGAGATAAGGAGAGTGAGACAGGTAGGGAAGGTGAGAGGGAGAGGGAGATAAGGAGAGTGAGAAGGGTAGGGAAGGTGAGAGGGAGAGGGAGATAAGGAGGGAAGGGGAGAGGGAGAGGGAGATAAGAAGAGTGAGACAGGTAGGGAAGGTGAGAGGGAGATAAGGAGAGTGAGACAGGTAGGGAAGGTGAGAGGGATATTAAAAGAAAGAGGGAGAGGAGGATAGGCAGGGTGAGAGGAGGTAAAGAGAGTGAGAGGGAGGTAGAGAAGATTAGAGGAAGATAATAAGAGGATGGAGCAGTAGAGAGAGAAGGTCGATAGGGAGATAGTCAGGTGTGTGTGGGGGGCAGACAGGAAGGGAGGTCGATAGGGAGATAGTCAGGTGTGTGTGGGGGGGGGGGGCAGACAGGAAGGACAGGGGGAGGGGAGATAAGGGAGGGAGGAAGGGGTGGGTGCTCAGGTAAGGTGGTGTGGGGGTTGAGGGTGGAGGGGGGGAGGGTGGGGGTTTAGAGGCAATGAGACTGGCAGAGGTTCAGTAGAGGCGTGACTGTCGTACCGATCACACGTTGTTCCGAGGCTCTTCTCTTGTAACACACACCGCTACTGCTAACTAGGTAATGTATACGGCTATGGATAAATGCCTTTGTATGGTTTATTATTATTATTATTTCCTTCCTTCTTTCATTCGTTCCTTCCTTTTTTCCTTCCTTCTTTCATTCGTTCCTTCCTTTTTTCCTTCCTTCCTGTTTTCCTTCCTTCCTTCCTTCATCCCCCTTTTCTTCCTTCCTCTGTTAATGTTCTGTGTGTTCTTTTCGTTTTCTTGTTATTTTATTGTTCTCTCATACTTACAGTGTGTTCATTTCCTGTTCTCTTTGTTTTGTTCTTTCCTGTTATCTTATTTATGTGTTATGTCTGTTCTTCTCTTCCTGTTGTGTTCTGTTCGTGTTCCTCATTGTTCTTCTTATAACCGGCAATTGAAGATCCGATGTAAGAACATTTGTTCGTTGTTCTTTATGTTAGAGTTAAGTATAACACCAGATTCTTTTTCTGTATTTTAGTCTCTCTCTCTCTCTCTCTCTCTCTCTCTCTCTCTCTCTCTCTCTCTCTCTCTCTCTCTCCAGTTCTTGTATGTAATTATGTTAGACGTTCAAGAACTATCACCTCCGGCCTACTCCACTCCGACCAACCCCTCCGACCAACCCCTCCGACCAACCCCTCCATTAGCCCTCCAAATAACCCCTCCGACCTACCCCACTCTAGCCAACCCCCACTCCGACTTACCCCAGTTGTTCAGTGTTAATATCTGTGTCAGGGAGTGAGTGAGTGAGTCAGTCAGTCCAATCAGTTAAAATAGGTGTAATTGAATTTGGTTGAGTTTGAAGGCCTAGTAAGTTATTGTAGAGAGCTGCTGGCCCGCCACTACTACTGTATACTGAGTCCTCCTGTGTTGTTGTCTGTAGAATTGATCAAAGTCTCAGTTTAGATGAAGAGAAGTTTGTGTGGGTTGAAGATGTCAGGTGTGTGTGTGTGTGTGTGTGTGTGTGTGTGTGTGTGTGTGTGTGTGTGTGAGTGAGACCGGGTTGAGCCATCTGTTGTGTGGAGCCGGCTGGTGGTAGTGGTGGTTGGTTGATGGTGGTGGTTGGATTGATGGTGGTAGTGCTGGTTGGTGGGTTGATGGTGGTAGTTGGGAGAGAAGAATAATGGTGAAGATATTAATGTGTGTTTGTTAATGGTGGTGAAATAATAGTGGTTGTGTAAGGGAGGAGTGGTTGGTGGTAGTGGTGGTGTAAGGGGGAAGTGGTTGGTGGTGGTGGTGTAAGGGAGAGTGGTTGGTGGTGGTGGTGGTGTAAGGGGGGAGTGGTTATGGTAGTGGTGGTGTAAGGGGAGGGTTGGTGGTGGTGGTGTAAGGGGGAGTGGTTGGTAGCAGTGGGAGCAAGGGGGAGGGTTGGTGGTGGTGGTGTAAGAGAGTGGTTGGTGGTAGTGGTGGTGGAAGAGTGGTTGGTAGTGGTGGTGGAAGAAGTGGTTGGTGGTGGTGGTGGTGGAAGGTGGTTGGTGGTGGTGGTGTAAGGAGTGGTTGGTGGTGAGTGAATTATGGGGGACTGGTTGAGTGGTAAGGGAAGATAAAGGTTATGGTGTCGATTCTGGTTGGGTGATGATGGTTGTGGTAGGAAGATTGCTGTGTGTTGGTAGTTGTGGTCGCGTAGGTTAGGTTAGATGGTGGTAGGTACCGCTAAGAACCCCCACACGCGGATCCGACACCTCCACACACACACACACACACACACACAAATGACCTTGACCTGACCTACAGCGACTCCTAGTTGTATCTCAAGAACCTGCTGACCTCTCATAAACGTACGCCCTCCCCCCGTTCCCTTTTAACCTGACCTCTCGTTTGACCTCACTTGGGTCAATCAGTGGGGATCTTAAGTTGGCATTTTTCCCACAATACTCCATGAGATAAGGTCATGGTGGAGGCAAGAGTTAACTCCACCCATTTGACCCCACCAACTAAACTCCGCCCATTTTAACCCCTCCAACTACTGTTTTCATCTGAGGGAAATGTTATATTAAAGAAGGCAACATTCACAAGGAAACTATACTCTTGTTTTCCCCACATTCAGTCATGTAGGTAACTGTTTGGTGGCTTTTTTTATCCCTAACCTAACCTAACCTAACCCAGGACCCTAACACACGGCCGGAGACATGCAAAACCTTTTCTAAGTTATTGTTATTATTATTATCATTATTATTACTTCTATTATTCTTATTTTTATTATTAGTGTTATTATTATCATTAGTACTATTAGTAGGGGTGGTGTGGTTATAGTAACAGTAGTAGTAGACGCTTGTTACATTCATTAAATATCCTGTTTTGGTGTAAAAGAAAGTGTGAAGGATGCTACACTATCGTCCTCATCTCTACCCTTGTGTGTGTGTAAGAGAGAGTAAACATCTGTGGGAGTGTAAAGAAAGCAGAGAGAGTGTGTTTGTTTTAGAGAGAGAGAGAGAGAGATTACGTGTGTGTGTCTGTCTTTGTAACTACAGACTCTATGTAATGAACAAAATTGTGAAGTGTTATGTGAATGTTTCTATTTGTTGTCCTCTCACTTTCTACACTGTCTTGCATTACTCTTCCTATTAGTTCCTCCCTATTGTTTCCTTCCTATTAGAAGGGGTTAAGCCATCGTCCTCAAGGCCGGTTAAGCTATCGTCCTCGAGGGGTTATAGCTTGAAACATGGGTTGAATGGATATAGGAGTGATAGGGGTTGGGTGTAAATGGGACTGCCCGGTATGGGCCAATTGGCCCGCTGCAGTTTCCTTCATTCTTATGTTCTTATGTTAAGTCATCGTCCTCAAGGGATTAAGTTATCATACTCGAGGGGTTAATGGTCAAATCCAGTCTTTTATCCCCAGTGTTATTTTTGGTAATTTGCACACACACACACACACACACACACTCTCAATGCTTGGTTTGGGCATAAAAATATACATACCAACCATATGGCAACACTCAGCCTCTAGTGTTGGGCGTGACGTCAACAGAGGCCTTTCTAGTTAACCTACACTACAGAGGATACATTTACTTCAGTATACTTGTAGGTTAATATTTTGTTTCAGTAATTCTATATGACTAAGACCTTATGCGAATGAAGCAATATATTGGGAAATTAAGTAATAAGGAAAAAAATTTCTTTGTGGTAATAACTTTTAAGTACTGTACTGTATACAGTCCTTGTGACGGCTTACGGGTAACTATACCAGAACCACTTCTGCCACGCACACTAACACAATCTAGGGTGTTTAGGAGTTGCTACGACGTCTCTTGATTTAGGTAACGACATTACAGTTATTATATATTAAGTAAGTTTGTTATTGTGGAACATAATTTGTGGCTAATTTGATGGTGGCAATCGTGTTTTCCTTTAGTGATGTTACGGCGACCTCAAGGAAATGACGAGATGACGAGCACTTTTGTGAAATTTCAGTTATAGATAATAAGCCTCAAAAAATGGTTAGGTGTTTCTTGATAAAATGTGGGAAGTTACTTTATTAATATCAGTTCATTACCTGTGTGAGTGTAACTTAATCTTCCTGTGTTGGTGACCTTCAGTTGGCTCGCTGTGTCATGGCTGTCAAGTGACCGTACACTCGAGGGATGGAGTGTGACTGGCATATAACTGTAACAGAAACAGACTAAAACTAGCGGGCAACTATCAGGAATACATAATGCTGTATAAAGGTGCAGAATATATGACTCCTATAACTGTATATCGTTCATGTGTGTGACTGAAATATAGAGTATGGATGATTTGCAGCTTCACTAATTTGAATGTACTGTACCATAAAGCGATGGGGTTGACTGGAGCTGTTTCTTCCAGTCAAGTCGACCGTTAAACAGTCGAAACGTGGGAGTAACTGTATCTCAATGTAGGCGCGACACAGTTGCTCTAGAGACTGGGGGAGTGTGTCAGTGACTGTGAATGTTGTGACCTGACATACACACACATACACAGAATGAGTGAGTGAGATAGTGTGAGCGGGAGAGAGAGAGAGAGAGAGAGAGAAGGATGAGGTGGGGGAGAGGGGTGGTGGTGGTGGTGGTGGTGTCCCGCAAGGTCAGTATCCCGTTGTGGTTCCCCTTGACATTGACAGTCAGCTACCAGCATTACCACCACGCCTCCGCCTCCTCCTCCTCCTCGTGTACATAGGTGGTTTGTTGCTTCTTCCGCTACACCTAGATGACAATGTACAGCAACAGAAGTACATGTACTTCGTACATGTACAAAAGATGGGTTTCAGTTCAATTGGAGGGTATTTGTGAAGGACAATCTGATGTACGTTTTTGAGGCCGTGTACACGAGGTATAGAATGCGTACATTCAGGGCCGGATTAAGCTTAATAGGGGCCTGAGGGACAGATCAACCTGGGCCCCTACCCTCAAGGTTATATATATAGCAAGAACAAAATATACCAAAATTTATCAATGATTTCATCATTATTAAGCTTCTGCAAAATAACACATTCAATGTTCATAAGAGACAGAAAATTGAGACGTTGCTAGGACATCGTTGAACGAAGTTCATGTTTTATACGCTTCAACTTCGAGAATGTTTGGATTTGGGGGCCCCTTAGAGTCGGGGGGGCCTGAGGCCAGTGCCTCATGGTTAATCCGGCACTGCGTACATCAGGTGGAACAGTGGAGGTGTAGAGGAGAGACAGTGGAGGTGTAGAAACGATAGAAACAAGAAGACTATTTTGAGGTGAATATTTTATAACGTAAAGCGAGGTTCTGTAATCTATGAAATTCCCTACACTAGGTGGAAGGTGTAGACAGGGTGTAGCAGTAAAATAGTGTGACCGCTGTGCTCCACTTGCCCTACACCTGCCCTGCTGCCCCACTCCAACCTAACCTAACCACCCTCCCTCTTCACCTCCATCCAAACACCTTCGTACACCCGGATCAAATGCTCCAAAAAAAAAAAAAAGATAACACAGAAAAAACCCCACTAAATAATATCAATACAAACTACACATTTTTGGGGAATATGTTCTATAATACATGATAGTTTTCCCAAGTTAGTGAGAAGATTTTATTGTTAGTTTTCTTTG